ATATATATATATATATAAACTTATATATGTACATACTTGGATTGAGAAGTTGTAATGACTGTCTTGCAATGATATTCGCTTTCATTCGGTTATTCACTTTTTTTTTTTAATTTTTCTGCGTTTCTTTTGTTTTGTTTATATTTATTTTTATTTTTTCCTTTGTTCATGATTCTTCCTCCTTTTTCTTTTTTTTTTTAAATTTCCTACCAATGATTGTCCCCATACACCTCTCTCTCTCCCTCTCATTCTCTCTTTTTTTTTTTTTTGTTTTTTTATTATTATTGTCGAATGTATGTTTTCGGCACTGCGGAGTCCGGTTCCTCCAGCATGACCTTTGCGTCTGCGACCATCACCTCCAGTCGTGCGAGGGATCTCTGCATGGCGGCCTTTTCTTTTCCCTCCGCCGCGTCGCGGATCTTCGTTCGGGTTTTGGGAATACTTTCCTCCGAGTACCGCACAAACCGCCGCACACTGCCAAGCCGCAGACGGTAGTTTTGAATATCCCCCAGTCGATTAAGTGTGGAGAGAAAGTTAGACACAACGGCGTCGTTGCCTTCCTTGTCGGTGAGAGAGAAAACAGCGGCGGTCATGGATGGACCGCCCAATGCGAATTGAAACATCGCCCGTGGCTCCGCCGGGTTTTTGTCTAAAATACGATTGTAGTGAATAATACCATCTCCCACCCCTGCGGCGAAGATAGAGGAAAGAATAATATCCTCCTCACCACTATTACTGGAGGAGGTGCGTATTTGTTTTAAGATACCAGAGACGAGAAGAATGCCGTTTTCTTCGCCTTTTCGACCCACCGCCTGTTCGAGTGCCCGATCGAAAAGTATTTCAAACTCAGACGCATCCTCCACGAGTTGATAAATCACTCCGTGTGGGACATTTCCAAAGAGTGGAGATTGTGCAACGGTGAGAGTGGTGTAATGTGGATGTGAAGCCAATAAATCCATCACCTGATCATCCTCTAAGAGTGAAATAGAAACGGTGAACTCACTGCGGTGGGAGAGACGAGCAAAAGTATCCTTCACCAGACGACGTAAGGTATTCCATGTAAACCAACTGGATGGTAAATGTGCAGGACCATCAGAATCTGCCATTATTAAGGCAATATTACATCCTTGTACAAATGTATCTCGTAATTCATCTAAACTCTCAACAAAGACATTAGGTTCATTTGGAGAGATGTATACAATGGCATTGGTATCAAACTTTTGTAATTCATCACTGTTAGGCTTTTCTACAATCGCTGTTGAACCATCCACCTCAATAATTTTACCACCCATTCTAGAGAGAAGTAAAACTGTTCGAACATTCGTCATCATGGATGGATCTGTACTTCGTGCACTTCGCCCAGTACCAGGGTCTCCTTCCTTTTTGTATTCATTACTTTGTGTGGGTTTTACATCCTTAAAGTACATACCAATCCGTTTCTCACTACCTTTGCGTGTTAATTCTCCTGTTCCACTGGAAGTAGAATTCGTCCCATTTGGTCTTGACTGATCTGTAGATCGTCCAACACGTGGGGCTGGTGTGGGTACACTTTGCGGCATTGCGGTTGGTGTTGTTCCTGTTCGTTCCCATTGCGATGGTGCGGCTGGTCGCCCGTTTAATCTTCCTTGAGAAAGTCTGGTTACATTGCTTTCACCGGCGGATCCATTCATTACTGGACCGAATTCGTAGAAACCATTTGTGGCAGAGTTTGTTCGCAAAAGAGTCATACTATTATGTCGCACCAAACCTCCATTATCGCCAAAATTACTACCGGATGAACCGAATAAACTTGCCTGAGAAGGTTCTTGATGAAATCCTGAAATGCCATTATTGAGATTTTGACCTGCGGGATAAATACCACCATAGTTGTAGTTAAGGTTTATTCCACTCTCTGTTCGCTGTAAAACAGGATTGGCAGTGGAAGCTCCAGAGGAGGTCCGTCCAATGTATGAACTTCCATACACCGATGGAAAGGTGGAATAATTACTCGGATATCTCTGAAAGCTGCCGACACGTTGAAATCCATTATTTGAATTTCCCATTCCAGGATAACCTCCACGAAAACTTCCATATCCTCCATTGTTAGGATAACCCATAAAACTACCTGCATTATATAAACTACCAAAAGATCCACTTGGACCACCGCGAAAACTTCCAAACTGAGATCCATTTCCTCTGTTCAACATAACGCTATTTTCTCTCTCTAATTGACCAAGTTGATTCTTTGAACCAAAAGAACCAAAATAACTGCTGCCGCCCGGACCAGCATACATCACTCCCCTTGGGGTAACATACGCTGAGGGATTGGAATTATTGCTGTTATTATTATTATTATTATTATTATTGTAATGAGCATACTGATTGTATCCACCGTAAATGTTGTTATTATTATAGTCTGATGGAATGTATCCGTAACTACACTGTCGCTGCAGAGGATTATCTCCGCCCATTGCGGCCCCGCCGTTTGTTGGCATTCCACGGTAACCCGGCGGTGGTGTCTGATACGGCACTCGACCCTGCGGTACTTGCATGGGAGGATTCGCCTGATAGGGTGCACGGTAGGGATTATTTCTTTGTTGATTATATACGGGTCTCATCTTGAGAAAGTATTCGTATTCGTATTCTTTCTTATTGCTGATGTTGCTCTTTTTTTTTCTTTTTTATTGGAGTTTTTTTTTTTTTGGTTTCTTTTTAAATAATCCTTTCCGATAGATAGATAGATAAAGAAAGAGAGATGGCTCTAGTTTACTGTAATCCACTTATTTTCACTATTTCTTTCTTTCTTTCTATATCCTTGTATGTAATGATTGTGTGTATTTCTTGTATAGTCTTTTTTTTTTTCTTTTCTTGCTGCTGTTGTTACTCTTTTTTTTTTTTCTTTTCTTTTCTTTGGTATAGTTTGTTAATACCGTCAATTACTTCACTCTATTAAAGTAGCGAAGAAAAAAAAAAAAAAAGAATCACCAACAGTGTTTCCCTTGTTCTCTACTTTCCTTTTGTTTTTTTTTTTCTTTCTCTCAAATGCAGAACCAGGTGTATACTTATATCTAAATAGATATATATCTATATAAGCACCTGTGTGAGAAGGACTCTTTGATGAATGTAAAGAAAGAAGAAGGATAAAAAGAGCAGTTATCGTACAGAGAGAGAGACTCTATCTCTGAGAAACATATACTCATCACCAGAAGGTGTTTATATACAGAAAAAAAAAAGAAAGGACAAAAAAAAGGAAGAATTTGATTGCCTCTTCTTCTTCTTCTCCTCCTCCTCCGATCTCAGTATTGCTCTCCTTATT